TTGCGCTCAAGCCAATTATGCTGGTAGTTATACGCGTGTAGCGGCATATCAGTCTTGGATATCCACGACTACCGTTGGTCAATATACCAGTTCAACATCATCAAGTTTGATCTCGTCAACAACAGAAATCGATTTAACGGCCAAATGTGCAGCACCTGCTCACTTTCGATCGACTATATCCCTTGAACTGGTTTCCGCTCTATTATTTCTTTATATCATAGAATCACTCCGTAATCAATTGACATGATATACTCTTCTCAGAAACATTGCCCGGTGATGATTAGTCGTCTCTTCTTTTGTTCAAACGATTCGATCTATTTCAATGCAAAGCCTACAAAAAATACAGTAATCAATAAAAATTATGCAGGCTTGTTTGATTTGTCCAAATTTGCTGATGCTTATTTGTTCTCATTTGTTCCCAATATCGATAAGACTTTGTTCCTTATGAAAGACGTCCTTATCAATGTTTTTTTCACACTAAACTGGTTTGATACCTTTTTTTATGCGTCTCACAGGATAGCCATTTTTAGTTGTTCATTGCGACACAGATATTTCGGCTGAGCAACAATATTGAACACTGTTGATGAAACAAATAATTCGAGTTTTTCAGCAAAACTCTATTCTTGCAGATGTCGTTGCCGCTGTCAAAAACAATTTCACATATGTATTATGAACCAATAGTAAATGAATTCTTTTACAGAGGCAAAGAGTTTCGTTATTCATTGCTCTCTTTTGTGTTCTCTCCACATGTGGTTGAAAAGTGCGTGCATTGTCGTAGATTCGAGTAACTTATGCGTCCTTGCAATGTTGATGGCAACTCTATCTAGAATAGTTGTTGTCTATGTTTAATAGATTTTGCCATTGTGATCCTTATATATGAGCATCGATTTTAACAACACAAGGTGATATAATTGCAATGATTTGTATACAATCAAACAAAGTTGAGTAAAATTATTGATGATTAGCTCTATTTTCTTCTCAATACATATGCCAGCGATAAACTGACAAATTTATAATACGCAATTCGATGCGACCGAGCCGTCAAGATCAAGATTAGTCAAAAAGTAAGAGAAGTAGATAAGTGTGACAGGGAGAAGAAGAGCCTATTTCCTAACACATCCACCCATACCCACCCTTCATTGATTTTTTTATTCTTCCATCAAGTTATTGTCAAAAAAATTTTGTTGTAGTGCTTAATCAAATTATGATTTGGAGACTGATTTTGTTAGATCAGCATGTCGTTGAACAGAATTAAAACTCGTATGAAAACGATTCATGAAGGCATCATCTATCATTCACAAAGAATCATCTCTTTCTATTCCGCTAGTAATGAAATGCAGATCCAAAGAGCGTATCGTTTGGTAAGTAGATGATTCGATCAACGTTTGCATGTATTGGACACCAGTCAGTAGAAACCACTGAACAGCAATCCTGAAAGTAAGGTCAGACAGAAACGACCAATGTTTCGAGCGGTTTACGATATCATTCTACAATAGAAAAACATGTGTCATTTGCTATTGTTTCTGCATATCACAGATATCAATAAGCACATTACGATTAAGCTCGTGTAATAATGCTTGCAAGCGAAAGATATGATAAAAATAGATCTGAAACGAATGATATTTCCGATTTGATACTTATTTCACAGTTGCTAACACACCATTTTACATCATTTGTGCTGATACTATTATACCCTAGATGAATGGTTCAAACTCATTGATGAATATTCATTGTTGACTGAACTATTCAATATGATTTGTCATGCTTGATATTTTTGACTTAGTTATATTGACATAGAGCATTTTACCTGAAAAAAGTTTTGAACAGACAGCAGCAAGCATAATTACTCTGCTTTGTTTATATATGAAGTCTGAAGATATCTGTTATATATACACTATCACCAGTATACCAAGAAGAAAAGCATTCTGATTGATCGTGCCACATTGGGATGCGTGGATGAGAAGCTAATTGCATCTGTCAGAATGTCATCAGTAGTGTTGTCAAATAAATTTCGGAAAGTGTTTGGTTGCGAAGATCTGATCTGCGTAATCAATATCAATCGTTTTGCCAAAATCTAAGATTCTAGCTTCATTTAGGATTGAATGCTACATTGAGCTACATTGAACCACATTGAGTTAAATGAGATGATTTCTATATATCGTTGATATCGAATCATTAGACTATTCATCTGTTTTAAAAAGAACAATTATACACTTTGTGAATAACAATAACCATAACTTGAAATATAAATCTACGTACTTGAGTAATATTCATGGCAATCAATCTCCAAGAACTCAACCTGTCTAAGTCTGCTATTTCAAAATGGGTTGAATCTCTTATATACTGATGCCTTAACGATGTTGGTCTATGAAATCGATCAACCAAATCTCCTTTGTTCAAAGAAATAGAATAATCAAGTAAATCAAGATTATTTTTATGGTAACGAAATAACCTACGTTAACATTCAATGTTATCACAGCCGATCGATAGCATCCAAAATCGATACTTCCAGTATCAAATAACATTTTGACACATTGTGCTTGTGTTCCAATTCATATCTGTCTTAGCCATATTAGCTATGAGAAATTTCAAAAACAAGCATTCAAGTTGGTTGTAGGTTGGTGTAAGTACATTTTGACAACCATGTAAAAACAACGACAAGAAAAATCTGATTTTATTCGACTATTTTCGGATTAAAAATCGATTAAAATGGTACGATTTCAACCAGATTTTCTAATTTTAAACGCCTTTAATCGATTTTAACCAATTTTAATCTAGTTCATCAACGCTTTGGCTCATACCAATAAGCATGAATTGCTGTCATACGTGGAAATGTATCAAAGATAGGGTTAGCACTACACTTACCATTTGTCGACGTAAGTAGTCAGAAAAAAATCAAGGTTGGATTATCTAAGTAAAAACTTGAGAAAATTGCGTTTTATAGTCATAGCAATTAAAATTGATTAAAAAGCAGAAAATCTGATCAAATTGAAGTCAAATCAGATCCTTTTGTCGTTTTTCTACGTAGGTAGTTAGCCAAATTTTGATCGATCATTTGACTCATTTCTTTTCTTAATGTGGATTTGGAAACGATAGTAACTGTCGTACCTGTAAGAACAAAGAATAGATCGTCAAAATATAATTTCAATATCAATTTATTTGTCGATATATTGTAGTACTATATATGAGTCAGATACCTCTTAAAAGTCCAGCTCCAGGAAATACATTCTCCTAAATAGTGTTTATGATAAAGTCAACATTCTTTTCCATGCTTTCCAGCGATTTTTTTGGTTATTTATGACAGGATATTGACTCACTCATTTGAATCTTCAGAGATATCAAAGTGTAGCTCATTTTCAAAAACGATAGCCATATTTTTTTCTTACAGTCAAATATAGAAAAGGACACGTTCGATCACAAAGATGAACAAAATATCAACCATGCGCACTTATGCCAACAACAGATTGTATGGATCAAACTTCTATCAACTTGAAAATGTCAGAACTATAAACATAATGAACATGAGAAGTGATTATATTGAAGTTGTTTTATACATTAAGTGAATCTACGACCAGATTGTCGATGTCACTCATACGAAAACCACAGTTGATGTTGTGAATTATTGATTCGAGACTGATTTGAGAGAGACAGTAGCATAAATCCTCCTTCATAAACCTGACAGCAGTTACTACGCCTTTCCTTTATCATAGTCGTCGTCACCGTCACCGTCTCTTCTTCTTCATTCTGATCTAATAGTTTATGTTTCAAATCGTAGCTTTATGAAAGAAATCATAGTTATTTTGAAATATAACTTTCGTTCAATAATTTTTGACTATAATATCCCATCCTACATGGTCTATAGATATAGGACTGTGTCGTCAATGTTCTTTTGTGTACCGATCGTGCAAGCGACAAGAAGAGTCGTTTTTCTGTGATAGTAGTACCAAAATCTGGTTAATGTTTAGTATTATTTTATGATATGCAGAAATTAAAGCCCTTATGCTGCATCCGAAGACACGATAAATATCTCATGTTGAATAAGGAAGTACTACATAATTATTTTTTACTATTGTGACTGGATAAGCACATACATAAAATAAAATAGAAAAAAATAAGCAATTTTATTTCTACTACTTATCGTTTAATCCTTTAAAGCCAGATTTATTTTTAGAACAAATAAAGTAAAAATATATTGCTAATACGGTATACTGTAAGAATTATTGATGATCATAATCCTTGCGCTTAGACTTGATTTAAATATGCAATACTGTTATTTAGTGATATGTATGTCAGAACACAACAAATATTGAAAAAACCTTTTTTTACTATATTTCGACTTCGCCTTCTACCCAGATCTTGAAAATATAAATCCATGAGCTTCGCTGTCAAAGACTTAATAAAGACGACGACGTTATTTTGAGAGCCGTTTGACTTCTTACTCAATAAACGCAAGAATTTTTCGAGAACCTGGTGTGTGAAGAAAGCTATGAAATTCCCTTTATCATTCTCAATCAACATTCTAGGGTGATCATCAACACTATGGATTACTTAAATATGCAACAATCGTCTTTATAGACCTGACTATGTACTCACTTAATCTTCACAATATCATCTTTATGTGATATTTGCATTGGTTAATACTTTTTTCTTTTTGTTGTATCTATCATTTTTTTAACCCTTTGGGGACCAAGGACGTATATATACGTCCTCACAACTGAAACAGAAGACCCAACTGCTTTGAATATTTCGAAGTGGAATCATTGTATATTTTATTTCCTTTTCCACCAGAGAGTTCATTGTCATACTCTATAGAAAGAAGAGCTAGCCTCACAAGTATATAGTTCATAATTTCTAAGTTATACCTAATTTCCACGATACTATTTACCTCTTTTCGAAAAAAAAAGTCGGTCCCCAAAGGGTTAAAAGAGACATTACTAATTCACTTATTTTGCTTACTGATTTTGCGATTCTTGTGCAATTGAATACATACTCAAAAACAAATGGTCTATTCTACATGGTTTCTACTTTGTTTTCTTTCAACAGCGTTTTGCTACAATGAATCTGATCATAACATCCATGGAACAAATGCTTACGGGTGGGAATTTGTACGAGATTTGTTTCGAGAAAATTTTGTTCAACAACAAGAGTTAGGTGCAGCTGTAGCAGTTTATCACCATGGTCGTCCAGTTGTGGATCTCAAAGGTGGATGGTTTGACGAGGCAAAAACCAAATTGTATGATGATAATTCTCTACAGTTAGTTTTCTCTACTACTAAAGGATTAGTAGCTGTAGCTGTTGCACTTTGTGTTCAGAGAGGTTTACTTGACTATTCAGCATTAGTGACAAAATATTGGCCAGAATATGGACAAAATGGCAACGAGAATACGACAGTGGCCGATATTCTTTCACATCGTGCCGGATTACCGTATACATCATCGCCAATTGATCAATTTAGGAACTGGACAGCTATGATTCACACACTAGAGCAAGAGCAACCATTATGGCATCCAGGAATAGCTCATGGTTATCATGCAGTGACCTATGGTTGGCTAGCTGGTGAACTTGTTCGCCGTGTTGATTCAAAAAAAAGATCTTTTGGACAATTTATCAAAGATGAGATTGCAACTCCACTACAAATAGAATTCTATATTGGTCTACCATCCAACATTCAATATCATGTATCTCCGGTAGTTCCTCATCCCGATGTGAAGAACACGCTGAACGAAACCATGAAAGATTTCTTTCAGATATGGAATGATCCACACATACATCAAGCAGATAATACCAGCAACCATTGGGATATCCAATGCTTGGTCAATCGTACGCCTTTATGCATCACTTATCGGTCATCTCGACGACGGGTTCGAACATCGATTGTTAAGTGAAGAGACTATGAAACTTGCAACCAAATCAAACACACCTTTGAATGAGATGGATCTTGTACTACAGTATTATTCTTCGTTCGGCATGGATTTTCATCGATTTGATCGATTTCTTCCAGAGTTTGGACTAGGCATATTTGGTCATCACGGTAAGAAAGAAAATGATGATTAAATGACGAAGCAATTCTATTTTAATGAATGCTAGGAGCTATGGTGGCAGCATTGGTTTTGCGACACCTTCAAAGAATCTTTCTTTTGCCTATGTTTTAAATCAAATTGGAACAGATACGCAAACGATCATTGATCCACGTATTCAATCCATAGTTGCTCAAATTGCAGCAAAACTAAATCATCAATCCCAGTAGCAAGATTTCTGTTCGTGAATTTATAATAATAAATATAAATCGCATAATACAATCTGCTCAATAAAATTCATAAATACTTCAAACTCAATTTTACTAAGGAAAGAAAAACAGACATCCATATTCAGAGCTCGTAAGAGTACTTAGGAATTATCTGTAGAATGTGGAAGTCTTCTTGATATAATCCAATTGACTAAGGTACTTCATTTTTTTTATGGATTAAAAAAGGTGTGCATTGTAGTAATAAATAATCAGACGAGTGGTCTAATTTGATTCTTCATTTCTTTCGAATTGATCATTTCTTTTAATGATCCTGTCTTTGTGCATTTTTATACTAGTTTATCTGCAAAGCTACGCTGCATGCACAGTATTCCCTTAATTCAAAAATAAAAACAAAAATTTATCTACATATGAAGATGAATTTATTTTGATTCTCCTGAAAATAAGACAGCATGTTGTTCATCGCCCACGAAAGGACGATCCATTCGACCATATTTATGCATGATTCCTACAAATTTTCTTGCAAGAAGAAGTTCAAGATGGCTCATTTCATCATTACTTGGCTTCAGAGAAAGACAAAGAAGAATTTCAGTTTATTATTCCTAGCATTGTAGTTCTTTTTCTTTTTATACTTCGATGAATAAGCTATTTTTAACGCAATATTTTCTCTCAGAAACATCTTGCTGTGAAGATTTCATCGATTTTTCATATTTATAGTCAAAAGAATAAAAACTTTGTCTTGATATCGATTCTTTATATTATCTTCGATATTTATTTCAGTTGGATTCGCTGTGCTTGTCAATATTTTTCAACAAGACTACACTTCCAAAGCCTTGACAACTTCATCTTTTTGAACCATAGATATAACAAGATCAACAAATATTTCGTCTCTGACACAAGAAACTAACATGAAGTGATATTTTTATATGAGTTTAATCATACACAAGATTTGTGTCCAGAGTAGCACGCATTCAACAGGTTTTCATTATTGAACCAAGGAAAAAATTCAGAGTTAGAGTAGATGTGAAGATAATGGTAAAGGCAATGGTATTGATTTAAATAAACATTTTCATTTATGTTCGATTTATTCATGAAATCTCTACACTCTTACAATATACTCGCCTCGTTATAATATACACAGCATCTTTTTGAAACTAGATTAGAAAACTAGCTCCTTACAAGACAATACCGTTGCTTGCCTTTCTATTAATCTATTTTAGAATACATGACTAGTTATTCTTTCAGATATTATCAATAACTACATTTCAAATCAACTATATACCTCGTCAATGCCTATCAAAATAGCAGAATGAAAAAAAAGCATGTCATCGCTTAGTGGGAAAATATGATATTCGTATCTTGTTCATAACTAAATTGTAAATTTTAGTTTAGGGAGCTTCATTCAAAGGCATTTCTCGTCCTTCTACTTTGTATGTATTCAACCTAAAAGTGAAACCTAAAATAGCTTATGGATAGTGAGTTTTTCATTTGTTGTTGTGAACTAATGACCAATGGATGAGTTTTATTCGACGTTTTTACAGTAAAAAACAAGACGTAATTTTATTCTTTTCGTTGTATCCTTCGATTGCTCTACTGTGCCAGGCTGATGAAAGATGACGTAGGAGAAATATTTTTCTATGCATTCAAATATTTGATGAAACTTGACCATTATGTATCAGAAGATTTTGATGAAAAAAATCTTCTCTTATCTAGGAAGAAACAATATTTATTCACAATATAGGTTACATATAATCAAAATAGGCTGCATTAATCATCTTGAGATTGGAAATTTGAATCAATACAAGAATTCAGCCGTGAGATCATGATATCTTGAATGACAACAATCGAACTCATTTAATATGATCTGATACGAAACAAGAGAATTGCAAAAAGAGATCATTGAAAGAAGTGAGATGCAAACACACAATTTAAGAGTATAAAACAGCTTTTACTTCGCTGAGTACATAGCATTGAAACAAATGGTCCATTTTTATTTTATGATCTTTTAAATTATCTGTCTAACATAATCTGTTCTGTTGTTATTTATCCAACTTCTCTCTCGTGATTGGCTAGTTGATCAATAGACAGCGTAGAAGTAAAATGGTGTTGGTGAAGGCCACTCATAACTTGTCAGCAATTTTCTTTCCATTCATGTAGCTTTTGTCTTTGGCTATGGCCCAACAACAAAATACTTCATAGAACGGGTTAAGAAAATATGTCATATGCAAATAGATATGCGTTTGAATATAAAAAATTTTACTTAAATTTACTAAATCAATACGAAGAATGATATAAGAATCGTCGTTAGACACGATATACTCAATGTCAGTCTTATTCGAAATAGTCAATGAATTGTTAGATTTATTTTGAGTTGCTTGAAGAAAGCTTGAGAATGATTGTATCATCCATGGCAATCAGTAAAAACTGTTAGTGTATCTGTCTTTGACAAAATTAATGTTAGATATATTCTTTTGTAATTCAATAAATATTCAATTAACTAATTAATAACATCGTACATAAATTGGCACATGTATTTTTCAGACATACATGATAGAATTCAACTGTCAATCAGTTTGTATCAATAAGCATATGTCACTATTTCATGTTCATTTTAAAATTATTGATGGGTTGTTGACAATTTCGCCAACCACATCCATTTATAGTTTTTTTGTACTTGTGAATAGTCTGACTAAAACTGTATGACTTTGAAAAGATCTTGATTATTCGTTTGAAACTCAGAGCCTCAAGATATCTATAACTTTTACCCTGATCTAGAGCTATCAGTTTGGAGATTCACATGAATGATAATGTCGAATTTGATTAACTGTATATTACATTTATTTAATGCTCAAATGAATACAAATTGCAATTCATTCTTTCAGAAGCAATTCAGATTAAATAAATGATGTAGTAAGAATTTAATGATCGTTCTTACGTAAACTTAACATTAGGCACATGTCCAGATGTAATTATATTCTTCAAGGTGTTGGTTTCGATTTGCCAAATATAAGAAAATATAGCGCAAGCATACATGCTAATATGAGTACCAGCATATGTTTGACTGTAAAAGAGTTAACTTCTTCGCAATCTGGCTTCGAAATTGATGAAGACAATATTGTACTTGAATGAAGTTCTACTTTTAGACCGGGTAATGCAGCAGAAACATACTTTCCAGCAGTTTCAAGTTGTTCATCGGTGGGTTGATAAGTGCCTGAGTTGTTCGACAAATGAAGAACCAAACCATCTTCTTGATGTTCCATCCAAGCTTCACCAGCGAAACGCACATCGTCGTCATAACCAGATATGAGGACATGTTTTGATAACGCCCAATCTACAAACTTCAAGCCTGGACTATTATGCATACCAATGATAAAATCACCAGTAATCACTATATTGTAGGGATGCGGCTCGGTTTTAGTGTGAATACTCATCATAGATGCCAAAGGTCCAGGAGCAAAATAGCCATGATCATCCCAGCATGCAGCCATTTGATTTCGTATTGTAACGACAACAGCTCGAGAGAAAAGTACATACTTCTTGATTCGAGTTGCGAAGCTGGGATTTTTCATTGCAAAAGCCCGAAGTGTTTCTGGAAGATATTTATCCACGTCAACTTGCTCTTTATTTGGAATTAATTTAAAGAGTGTATGCGATCCGATAATTTTTCGTATTGTCGCTCCAAAGAAACCAGGATGAGAAATTTCTAAACGTGTTAATGAACCACAGTTGTCAACAACGGTCGGTTTCATTGGAACATATTTTGCTTCGAGTAAGGGCGCTCGAAGATGGCTATTGGATGGCAGACATTCATTAATAACTTTCTTGCATGTACGACCTAAACTAGTGAGTTCTTTTTTCCTTACTTCACTGAAATGTTCTTCGAGTGTTAATCGAGTTGTACGTATGAAATCTAGTGTTAATGATTCACCTTTATATTCCAAACCATTCTCAAAAATTTGTTGAAATAAAGAACGAGCACCGAAATGATTATTCAAGTCAGTATCATCACTGGTAAATCCAGCAGAGCTTAAAACACATGCATTGGCATATGCACAAGACACATGTCGATTATTTGAGTGTTTCAACATGGCTTGTCGCAGTGCTGTTAATGCATCTTGGCTTAAATTTCGAAAACGAATGAGAAATCCAGATTGTACACGGCCTTTTGTATCGATTACTGCACTAGTTTGACGCCAAATCATGTATGCAGCGAATTTAACGTATCCATCACCAGTTTCCTTTGGAACAGTCAAATAAACATTCGGTAGTCCAAATCCAAGAAATACTTCATGCTTATTGTCGAACAACTTGTCCAACGAGATAAGTTTGATTCCTTGGAATTCTATTTCATCTACTCCATTTCGTAATATGTTATGTTCAGGATTGCAATGTGTATCTATAATAAGTCTGGTTTTTCTCTGAAAAAGAGGTTCCGGTCGAACTACGGCACCCGCCTGAATTCCTTGCAACAGCAGAAGATTATCATGTGTATCGGCTGTTGATAATACGTCTTGTTTATTATTCAGAGCTTCCATACATTCATGCGTTGCTTCTTTCTCTTCACAACACAACATTATTACGAATCGAGTACCACTGACAATAATTCGTAGTATCAAGGACAGTTGATTTAACGATTTTATTAATTGAGATGTAATATCTTATTTCAGTAGTATCTTGGCAATAGTATTGGTCAATAAGCTTTGTAAGTCAGAATCTGAAATAATTTTAAATTCAATCAGTTGAAAAACTAATAAGTTGAAAATCATTTTGATGGATTGATGAATATCCTGAAAACCTTCATCTGTACATCACTGTTTATATGTTTAAGTGATTGAAGAAATAGAATATATAAAAGGTAAATAGATCACATTCTGTTTATTACAATCTTATGTAAGTAAGATTCATCGCCAATCTAGTATATTACATAAAAAAGAATGAACAGTTGATGAGTCAGTCATTAGAAAAAGTCGAATATTGAAAGAATTATATTGTTAGCTGTTGCTTTTTTAGAAAAATCTAACTTGCCAGTAGCGATGAAGAAGCGACTCAGAAACATTCGTAGTTGTACATTGATCTTTTAGTGTTTTGACATGCATTAACAGTAGATTAAAAAAAAGCTTTTAGTCAAAGTCATATGCAATCGCGATATGAAACACAATGAAGTCATTTTCGAGCATTATAAAGATAATCTTCAATGTGATTACTATAGCTCATGAATATTTTGAAAAACACGCACATGAAAATGTCTCTGGATTGTCGCAGACCATGAAAAACAGGTTGACATGGTTGACACGATTAGCGAAGGGGTAGGAGTCGTCATGTTTTTCGCCACATACTTCAATATTTCTTAACAATCGTGTTTCACAATTTATTTTACAGGCACGTAACAAAAAATAAAATCCGAAGTGACACAAAAAGCTTGTAGAGTTACAGATATCAGCACCTGTTGGAAAATTTGCTCAGCCGTGAAAGAAAATTCTGAGTGCCATTAGAATTTAGTAAAAAGCTTTGGAAAATAATAGATGGCTTGAATTTATACAATAATATGTAAAGATTGAGGATGTTAATTTATCTTTACTTTGTAAAATAAATATAAATATAATCAGTCTTACTATTTATAAAATAAAGATACATAAATGCTTCACTTTTAAAGAATAAAGAAAAATACTTATGTAAGAGACAAATATACGATTACCTGGAAGAACAACAGGATTGGGTACTCAACATTCTTACTTATTATCAACTATATTATAGATGTGTGATGATGGTCTAAAATCAGGATGATAAATCAAAAAACTTGTGTAAAAAACCTGGTCTATATATAGTTGTTGTATCGCTAATAGTCTAAGTTTTTATAAGCTACTCACAGAAACTGAAAGATTGGGGTTTTCCTTTAAAAAATTCGTTCTTAGTTATTTTATTTATCTTTATCTCTTAACAATAGAGAATTTATTTATACTTTTTTTATAAAGATAAATAAAATATTGATCTATCCTTATAAATATAAATATTTTATTTATTTTTATTATTTATTACAAAGAAAATAAAGGAAAACTAATATCTCTAATAAAGATGCTTGATCGATAAAGAGCAAAAAAATTGGAAGATTTCGCAATGTATGTTTGCTATATCGAGGTGTTGTCTCATATCTATTGCTTAAGACAAAATAAAAATTTATCATCATGTACTTGCTATGATATTTTATCGACAGTCGTATGATTATGGGTATTTTCGTGGCGAACACTCATAAGACGAGCATAGTCATACGTATTTATTGTTTGCATAGGTTATTGCTCAACGATGTTGCCATTTTTTTGCACTTCTCTACTGGCGTCATTCAGAGAAACAGAATATTTATTTTGGCAAGGAAGCAAAATGAATCACAGCTCGACTAATATTATAGTTATTAATGATAAAAATAATAGCAGTTATTCACTGACCCACTCACGTCAGTGACAACTAGGCATTTTTCTTGTTCTATCGTTAGTACACCTTGACCGTAGTAGAGAACATTTGTATTTTCATTTTTGCACGAAGCAGCAGATTGAAAAAACAGAAAAGAAAAGAAAAAAAAATACTGTCGTTTACAAATTTCTGTCAGTGGCAGTGTGTCAAGGTGGCTTGAAGATTTTGTAAATCATTTTATTCTTAGATTTTTAACGGTATTCTCCTCTTTTTCAATCAAAAATTTGATTTCGACCTATTGGTATACTGTCAGAGGGGTGAAAAGACGTTCCATTTCTTTCTTCTAATTAATAGCAGATGCACTTCTCACCAGTGACATCTATATCTATTTGGGACCTATGAATAAATTCAAAAGATTTTCATACAATATACTCTAGAACTGAAAAAAAAAGAACTCAAATGTAAAAGGTAGATGATTTGCATGGAGATCTTCAATCACTCGACAGTTATTCGAATGATCATGATACCATATGAGCATGTCTCCAGCTTCAATCAAAACATTCTTTTATTTTTCTTTTTAAGTCACCCAAACTTCTCTCAGTCGATAAGATTCTACTAGTATCAATTGTTAACTTTACTCAATAGTTGTTTCTCTTCGTTTGATTACTTACAATTAAATACATTATTTTCAAGTTATATAGATTTGGAAATGAGACATATTGAATTCCATACAGTTATCTCTAGTTTTTATAATTGATTTGTACATTGTCTCATTGCTTCTGCATATATTTTGAACAAGCTGAAATTTTTACGAATGGTTTTAATCTTTTCATTCATGGATATGTAAATGAAGATTGAATAATAAAGGATAGAGGAAAACGAGTTAATAGAAAAAGGAACTTTTTTTTCTTTGTGAGAGTACATGAACTCTACTATGCAGGCATATAATCAACTTAAACTAATGCTGTGTAGTTTTAATATATATGGCTCAAAACAAAAAGTTCGTGTGAGACTTTTAATATGTACTGTAAATTTGTAGACTATGCAGTGATTCAGACTAATGTTTTTATCTTAAAACCACTTGAATATTTTTATTTGATTTAGTCAGAAAACCTTTTTTCATAGTAAAATAAGTATTAACATTTACAACAACAGAGTGATTTTTTAATGCAGAGTATAAGACAAAGATGCTATGTTAATACAATTTTATTTGAATAAAAGTTTTAGAAAGAAAATAGATGTCAACAATGAAAAAAAATTAATCATGAACACATGGAATATCTTCCTTTGATTTTGGTATCGGAAATTCTTGTATATTCGATAAATATTCAGAAAAATATTTTTTAAAATACGTCCAACTTGTTTCACTCGATGTATCTAATTGACAATTTGGTGCATTTTCATAAATTGGAATTCGTTTAATAATTTCATTAAATAAAACTTGATCAATTTGAGTTAAAGAAGAAATTTTCGTTCCTTGAGCTGAAAATACCAATGTTCCATTGTATTGTGTTGACATATTCATCCATGGTAAAATTGGTGAAATTCTTGTCCATGATAAATCCATTTGATTAACTTGTGTTAAACTTTCATTAGTTATCTGATTTAATGTTGTAAAAAATTTAAAATATTCTCCTGCTTGATAAAATTTTTCTTTTGAATAATGTCTTAATGTTTCATTTTCAAATAAAGGATTTGGATAAAATAGATTAACATCAATTGGTAATACTATTTGATTTTCACTTGTTAAATAACCTTTTATTGAAAATTTATCTGTTGACATTGTACTTTGAACAGGATCATTAGCAACATGTATAACAGATACAATATTACCTGTATAAGGATTTGACCATTGATTTAATTTTTCACCAGTATTAACATCAATATATAGTTGTGTTTCTCTTGATGTTAAAATAATTTGATGATTATTTGAATCATTTAAACATCGTGCAATATTCATTCCAATCACATCAAATATATGATCGACTTCCATTTGATATAAATGTAAATAAACACTGCCCTTCCACGTTGTTATCACTTGTTCATTGGGATTTAATGAACAACGTAATCTTAAAAATTCTTTTAAATTAAATATTCTTTCATTTGGATATGATTGAATAACATTAGAAAAATATAATAACAGTACAAAGTGAATGAAAATAAGAAAAAATGGTTTTTGAAAATTCATTCAACATATAATGAATATTTTTGTTAGAATCAATGATTAAAGTCAACGATGACAATGAAAAAACAAAACACAATAATAAAATTTAATCAATAAGAACCGAATGTTAAAAGTCAAACGATTGTTATCAATAATGAGAAAAAGAACAAATGTTTTAATAATGAAGGATAAGAGTGACGGCCGTTTTGGGATCATTTATAGAATCTATCTGATTTTTCATGGTTTTCAAACGAATTTTTTATCTTCGAATATAGGTAAACGCACTCAAGTTGTTTTTATATCAGTTAATATTAAAAAACAAATTTTTGATTGTATATACAAGAGATTTTGAATGCATAACCAAAATAATCATCGTAGTTTTATTACACATTGTCAAACACGACCACTATCTACTAAATCATATTTGATATTGTTTCCTAAAATCAAATTTATGTTTAATAGAAACAATCACTTTTTCCATTAAAGTGATCATGAATTTATCTTTTTAGAATTTATTGTGCCATTTGTATTCACAGATACTTTGCGTCATCATAGTCATTCTCTCGCTATGCTCATTTATCTGCCTATTTCTTTCTTTATTCAGTCCCAATATATCTGTAAAAACCATATTTATTGGTTAAGTATCATTTTAATATTCATGTTATTTCATAAATTGGAGACATTTGTTTTATATTGTAAATGTGTGAAATGATAAAAGCTACTAGACAATTGATCAACATCAGTAAAAAAATGTTTTTTTCTACAAAATCTTTCTAGATGATACTGTGTTACTTGTAATTGATATGAGCGAAGAATCCAAATTCAATCGGTATTTTATTCAAAAATAAAACATAAATAATCAAAGGAATTTTGAAAAAACCAAATGATAATTGTTATTTTCAAAAACACGATACAAAATCAAATGTTTCGTATGTCGTTTTTAACATATGAAAACATTTATCTGATGACAAAATGTCATGCAAATTTCAATCAAAATTAATTTGTTCGATTTTTTTATTCCTTTCTTGTTTCAATGTTGTATAGACTGTACCATATTCCATATGTTTTATCAAGTGTACAAGTGGTTACTTTGAACAGATAAGAACACAACAACCTTTATTTTACTTTCATCTCAACGTCCAATTTCAACATCTGACTGTTAAAAAAATTGTTATTCAAAACAATGCGAACACGAACATGTTAGCGTCAATAGGGGTCACTCTGTTACCGCTAATGGTTCTCGTTTACTTGTCATTGGTTTCTTTCTTCCTCCTCGCAATTGCTCTTGTTCTTGCTCTGTATTTTTTCCAGGTAGATCCGTAATTATTAGTTTTTCATCAGTATTTGTTTTTACTCGTTTTCTATCTCCTTTTTCTCGTGTTTAATTATTATAATCTTCTGTTTTTATTTTACTAATAAGACCTTGCCGTCAACGCCAATACAGGGTAGGCGTGTTTTCGCACGTTAGACTTATGATAGAGGGATGTGTTAGGGCTAGTGATGATACACCCCAACGCTTAACAGTAATGAAATGTCCCTTCTAGTCTGAATGGCTTAGAGCATCTGCTTGGATAGCAAGTGTGTGGTTTGAATCCTAGGAAGGGTATTCTTTTTCCTAGTTTATTACATAAGATCAGTGAGATTGCGTAGCCCATTGGTGCTTAATTTTTCAGTTGTGATGTTCATATAGTTCATTTGTGCCACGATCATATTATACAAAGTCTACCATGAGATTTCTTTTTCTATGCAACTCTTCGCAGTACATTGAACAAATGAGACTGAGCTTTTAAGATATTATTTGACTCAATTCATGTGTTTTAGTGAATTTTTGGCATTGTTGACCATGGATTTTTCGAACATACTTGATGAGTTAATTAGAAATCTTCATTGTTCTCTTTGATATATTCGTTTTTTTCTCAGAATATGATGATCGATAGAGGAGTTTGTCCAATATGAAGAAATGTCTGAGCAACAATGACACATCTGTTTTAGTCTTCTTAAAAGCATCCTTGACATAAGATTGCGAAGATAATGATGAAACAATTTGAAATCTTCAAGATACATAGAATCACATGTAAAAATAAACAAAGTTAGATTTTACTGACTATTTCGAAAGTAAATATGACTGCAGTTTCTCATACTGTTATATGTGTATACATGTAGCAGAAAAAATAGATACAATAAAAATCAGAATATATATTCAATTTGATTTTGTATTACGATAAATGTACTCATTCGATAGATCACTTATAAAAAACATCATTATTTTTCAATTTCAGTGTCTCTAAGGAACTCAAGTCATTATATCCAATGATAAGATATAAATTACGATACAAGCTCTTGAAGATCTTTTTATCAGCATCATTCTATTTGGCTACACATTGAAGTTGATACTTTCAACATCACACAATAACGATGAGTACAGTACACAACGATTTACTGCTGTTGGCACTAATAGATTTCTCAGAAAAAATTAAATTTTATTCGACACAATCATGCGTAAAAATCTAGTTATCATCAACTATGCCTTTGACTTTAACTTCTTCAGGAACAATATACAAATCTAACTTTAGGACAACCATGAAGTTTAGGAATATTTATGCTACGAATAAACTAGGTTTTGGGAATAAAAGATACAACATTTTAATGTAATCTGTTTTGAAAAATAATTCGAATAGCAACACATGAATCAATTAAGTATGTAAGATGCAATTGTAGAAGCTCTATTAAATTATAACTGAGACAAGGCTATGACTTGTCTAATAAATCAACAGATATGATAGAATAATAGGTTGTCGAATGTATTGAATTCATGTAATTTAGGGTTTACATTACTGAAAATAGTTTGACAGTATCATGGATCATGAACTATAAAATGAAATGATCTCAAAATCTGTATGAATTTTTGTTTTCTCTGCACATCAGAGATGTCCATCGCGGCTGAAACTCTGCCGCTGCCGCGTCGCGGCATTAGAAAAAAAAAGTTACCGCGCCGCGACGAGTAACAAACTTGCCGCTGCCGCGATGGTTTCCAAAAAAGTGTTTCGATTTTCACTGCTGCAACTGTATTGGACCAGAAATATTGGTACTAGTCCATCAGATTCATTCAGTCTCGGGGTGTTTCATTTGTAAACAATGAAATTCTATTAAATTCATGCAGTTTTTCAATGTCCTCGAAAAAAAATGCTGCCGCTGCCGCGATGAGCTTTTAAAAACTCTGCCGCTGCCGCGATGAGTTTTTAAGAAACCTGCCGCTGCCGCGCCGCCATGGACATCTCTGCTGCACATACATTGTTTCCTTAGACAACATAGTTTATATTTTTTCAAAGATTATGATTGTGTATTGCAAGAACTTTATGAGAAACCACTAAGGAATAATTGTCGTCATACCATCAAACAAAACATCACATTTATCTTCGAAGATATACTTCAATATAAAGATAATATGCCATGCTAACATATTTTTAGTCAGAATCATTTGCATCCGTTATCATTTGCTTACTTCATATCATAAATGTAATGCAATCTCTGCTTTGTATCGTCCGAAAAGAACGAAGGGCATGTACTTCTATCTTATCTTAAAACATGTGACAATATAATAGAATGAGATAATTCATAAGAACACAAAAAAAGCTTATGTTTGAAGTAATTCAAAATAACTCTTTCATGCCATGTTAATTGCTTTTCGTGTGATTAGTTCGGTCTGATTTGTGAATGCTAATTTTGGTATAAGGTTCTGACATATCAAATAGATAAGAAACTTAAGGTTATTTAACTTTCATTATTTTTATTCATCAAAAAAAAAGAAATGATATACATAGAGAATATTTGTGAAAAGTCATCAGTATTTGAAATGAATTTTCAAGCTAAGCTGTTGGGAATGATCAATACAATGTTTCGAAAATTGTTGTTGGTTTTTCAAATGACAACAATACCGATTTGTGGAATATTGATGACTGAAGGCTTGATAGGATCTCGAATTAATCATCATTCTGATTGGCTTAATGGAATAAACTTCAATTTGAAGTAGTAGTACAGCATAGTTTTTCTAGGATGTCTGATCTAAAATAAAAGGTCTGTCGAAGAGAATCTATCAGTTTTCAACAAGCTTTTCTGTCGAGCTACACAAAATTAGAAGATTTCATTCTGATGTTTAAAGATAAAGATTTTTGAGTAAAAACTATTCTTCTGTAAAACCGATTTAGGCCATAAGTACATCGTTTGATGACTGTGTTATGACCAATATCCAAAGAAAATGTAGATTAATCAATTCAATCAAGACTCAAAGACTCGTTTTCGAATCCATATAATTTTGATTTTTTCGAATCGAAGTCGCTTTATAATCGAAATTGTGTCGAATTCGGTTAGGTTCTAAATTCTAGAAAGTTCGTGCATATGAGTCCTTACAAAAGAACGCGTCAAATTGTTTTTACAGTTTTCAACGATAGTCTTCGTGCTTTCAAGCACAGAATGAATAAATGGTACGATGTGCCCTTCACCTAGTTTTAATGAATAAGTCATTTGACCTAAAATATATTAACTCATGAGTAACTTATTTCTTGATAGAGAGAGCAAGCGAATGTGAGGAATATGAATGTATTATTTTTGACATTTGAAACTAAATCTAATGATGAAAATGTGGATAAAACTTAACCTAACCGATCTAAGAACACATATTCACAGAATATTAGGTGTCAAAATTAGACTATTCAGTCATGAAATAGGGTTTTATTCTGCACTTAACGAGTCAATATGAATGACAAAAGACAAGTATTTCATCTATTATATGAAATATTTTTTAAGGTATTCTACTTTTTTATTCACGGTTT